TTTCTATGACGCCCTGTAATTGAAGACATCATAGGCCACAAACTAAATATCTCCTGAATACATTCAAAACGGAGATGGCTACGAGTAGATGAATCAAATCTTTTTGAAGAAAGTAGTGTTTTTTATTCTTCAAAATGTATATGTAAGTCATACACAACAGCTATGGTCAAGTATCTCCTGATACAAGGGAAATTTTTATACACAATGGCGAAGCCTCGCAACTGAGGCCAATGTTCAGTTGCAGAAAATCGTAAATACTCGTTTTCATTATATAATCATCGTAAATACTCGTTTTCATTATATAATCAGTGACCATACGAATGAAAACATTGATGGACGCGTACTAACGGGCGTAACAAAATGGGAATTAATCTTGACAAAATAGCTTACATGCATTGTTGTACCCATACAACACCACCAGTGTATATTTTGTGCTTTTATTTGCATTTATCCCTCAATAATGTATACTGCATGGATTACGAATACAAAACCGGCATAGAAGCAAACACGATGTTCAGAGGGATGGGGAGGAGGTGGCAGAGAATGGAAGAATGGAAAGGAAAGAAAAGTAAACATTAAACACATCCTAGGATAAAACGTATCAAATCTTCATGAATATCGTGGAAAATATCACCGGCACCGTCATCTCTTTTTCTATTTAATTTCATGCCAGTAATAGAAAGTTATTTGGACAAGACTCAATATTAATGAAATAACTTCCGCTATATGTTTGCTGCTTTTCTTTTGCCTTGTAAAAGTTGAAGTTTGAACGAAACAAATAGTTTCATCGACTGCATTAACAAATATTAGGGTGTAATTGACGGTGTTAACAATTTTGATGGTCTAATTGATCGTGTTGACAATTGTTAGGCATGTAATTGACAGTGTTGACAATTGTAAAGAGTGCAATTGAAGGTATTGACAAAAGTTGGGGGTGTAATTAACGGTGTGGACAATTGTGAGGTTTTTTTTGTGACAATATAATTTAAATGTCTTCATTTTGTAAACGGTAAATACTCAAATACTATTATTCATTGGATACCCAGGCAGTTCTGATAATCATTTTGCAATTTCAACCGCCTCACTGAAAAGATCAGATCACGATGTGACTGTACAATGTTAATGAAGTCATTCATTAATATGAAATAATTATTGCACACTTTAAATGAAAATGTCTGTAGATGCTTTCAAGAGGATTAATTTCAAAGTTAGAAAGAAGTTTTGTATATAATCCTTCTATGACTTGAACCAAGCCAAATCCATCTAAAATTGATCCCAAATGTCTAATTTGCTTCGAAGAGTTTATAACGCTACAGATTCTGGACTCCGTACATACGTTCACTGAACGTTGCTTACGGTCTTTGTAATGAAGAATTAAAGATGAAAGACAAAGATGATGTAGATTCGTATTCTTTGTGTAACCGCTATTTAACGTCTGTATCTGAATGTGGAGAAACAGAAGAATGAGCTGCAAGACTGCCAACCAATATGGCAGTGCTTTTGATATGTAAGTAAAGCTTAAAAGACGAAAATTGTTCTCAGAAATGCAGAAATGCATATCCAATGGAACAAAAAAAAACAACCAAGTGCCGTGTGCTGGACATGTTCTGAATGTTTCTGTAAATATGTTGCCTGTACCACAAGCGAATCAAAGTTAACGTGGATCATGATATTAAGGAATTTTTTTTCCATTGAGCAAAGTACGATATATATTGGGAGGAGGTGCGTTCAAAGAATAACATTATAACAGTTGAACTCATAATCCTTCGATGTAAGACGCCTATTCTGCTACACCCTCATCTTAACTGTCAGGGTCGATGTCTTGACTGTTTGACTATTGGTCCTCCATGACTATAACCATTTACCAACAGTCTTAATTTCATTTGTAAGTGTCCCCTCTAGGAAACCTAAACTGTTAATGAACACAAAACTAGATTTAGAGAAACGAAAATTGGTTACGCACGTGTCTGGACAATAGCGAATCGGTATAGCCACACTGAACTCATGAATGCATCAGATCCAAACGTCATTCGTATGTCAAGTCATTCGCATGTCAAGCAACATAACACATCTTATGTCATAAAAGTTACTTGTATTGCTATTAATTCATATGCAAGGTTATAGCTCGATCGATTCACATGCAATGCTATAACCCCATCGATTCACATTCAAAGTAATACACCCATTGATTCATATGCAATGCTAAAGTCCCATCGATTCACATTCAAAGTAATACACCCATTGATTCATATGCATTGCTAAAGTCCCATCGATTCACATTTAAAGTAATACACCCATTGATTCATATGCAATGCTATAGCCCCATCGATTCACATTTAAAGTAATACACCCATTGATTCATATGCAATGCTATAGCCCCATTGATTCACATTTAAAGTAATACACCCATTGATTCATATGCAATGTTATAACCCTATAGATTTACATTCAAAGTAATACACCCATTGATTCATATGCAATGTTATTGCCCTATAGATTCACATTCAAAGAAATACACCCATTGATTCATATGCAATGCTAAAGTCCCATCGATTCACATTTAAAGTAATACACCCATTGATTCATATGCAATTCTATAGCCCCATCGATTCACATTCAAAGTAATACACCCATTGATTCATATGCAATTCTATAGCCCTATAGATTCACATTCAAAGTAATACACCCATTGATTCATATGCAATTCTATAGCCCCATCGATTCACATTCAAAGTAATACACCCATTGATTCATATACAATGCTATAGCCATATAGATTCACATTCAAAGTAATACACCCATTGACTCATATGCAATGCTAAAGTCCCATCGATTCACATTCAAAGTAATACACCCATTGATTCATATGCAATGCTAAAGTCCCATCGATTCACATTCAAAGTAATACACCCATTGATTCATATGCAATTCTATAGCCCTATAGATTCACATTCAAAGTAATACACCCATTGATTCATATACAATGCTATAGCCCCATCGATTCACATTCAAAGTAATACACCCATTGATTCATTTACAATTCTATAGCCCCATCGATTCACATTCAAAGTAATACACCCATTGATTCATATACAATGCTATAGCCCTATAGATTCACATTCAAAGTAATACACCCATTGATTCATATGCAATGCTAAAGTCCCATCGATTCACATTCAAAGTAATACACCCATTGATTCATATGCAATGCTAAAGTCCCATCAATTCACATTCAAAGTAATACACCCATTGATTCATATGCAATTCTATAGCCCTATAGATTCACATTCAAAGTAATACACCCATTGATTCATATACAATGCTATTGCCCCATCGATTCACATTCAAAGTAATACACCCATTGATTCATATGCAATGTTATAGCCCTATAGATTCACATTCAAAGTAATACACCCATTGATTCATATGCAATTCTATAGCCCCATCGATTCACATTCAAAGTAATACACCCATTGATTCATATGCACTGTTATAACCCTATAGATTCACATTCAAAGTAATACACCCATTGATTCATATGCAATGGTATAGCCCTATAGATTCACATTCAAAGTATTACACCCATTAATTCATATGCAATGCTATAGCCCTATAGATTCACATTCAAAGTAATACACCCATTGATTCATATACAATGCTATAGCCCCATAGATTCACATATTCAAAGTAATACACCCATTGATTCATATGCAAGACAATGGCTCTAGTTGATCCATACGCAATATAATGGCACCATTGATTTATATACAATGTAATGGCACCATCGATTCATATGTAATGCAATGACCCAAAAAATATGCAAAATAGTGGCTCCATCGATTCATATGCAATATAATGGTCCCATTGATTCACAGATAAAGTAATGGTCCCATTAATCGAATTCATGGACCCATTAATTCATATGCAATGTAGTTGCTTCATTGACTCACATACAAAGTAATGAACCCATTGATTCATATACAAAGTATTGGCTCCATTAATTCACATACAAAGTAATGTACCCATTGATTCATATCGAAAGTAATGGACCCATTGATTCATATGCAAATTAGTGGAAGTATTGATTCATGTGCAATATAATGGCCCCATTGATTCATATACAATTAATGGTTCAATTGATTTATATGCAAAGTAATGGTCCTATTGATTCATATGAAATGTAATGGTCCCATTACACAAAGTAATGAACCCATTGATTCATATACAAAGTAGTGGCTCCATTGAGTCACACACACAAACTAATGTGCCCGTTGATTCATATACAAAAATGGTCCCATTGATCCATATGCAAAGTAATGTCTCCATTGTTTCATATGCAATGTAATGACCTCATATGCAAAGTAGCATTTCCCGAGATGGACATCAATGTAACCCTGTGTATATTGTCAATCAGCCTTTCTAACCATCCTAACAGACAGACAGACAGACAGACACAGAGAGAGCCTTTCTAACCATACTAACAGAGAGAGAGAGAGAGAGAGAGAGAGAGAGAGAGAGAGAGAGAGAGAGAGAGAGAGAGAGAGAGAGAGAGAGAGAGAGAGAGAGAGGGTACGTATTATTTAAATTGTCTTCCTGACATTTGTACGTTGAGATCTAACATAGATAAGCGTGGTATTTTTAAAAAGCTTTTGTGTCTATGTCTTGGAAGGAAAATTAAATGTAAAAGTACGTTGCATATCTCAGTCGACCTGAATAGAACATTCTGTTCATAAGCTTTTTATATGTAAAGATATACACATCAAAACTCACTGTATAGGAGGTGCTACACCTGCACCTGAAATTACACTACGAATGATTTTTTTGTTAAATAAACGATACACCCTACAAATGATTTTCATTTTACCAACCAAATAAAACAGACCTTTAGTTTGAAATAAATGTAATTAAGTCATAAACAAACAAACAATAAAGTATAAAACTTTATTTTTATGCAGATAATTTTTTAGTTTGATATACCGTTTTGCAATAACCTAATAACCGCTCCGGTGGCCATGTGGTTAGAGTGTCCGCCTTGGATGCGGGAGGCCGAGGGTTTGAATCCCGGCCGAGTCATACCAAAGACTTTAAAAAATGGTTCTAACAGCTGCCTCGCTTGGCGATCAGCATTAAGAGATTAGTGTTAGGACTGGTTGGCCTGGTGTCATGATAATGTGATTGGGTGGGACATCATGCCACATGTCTGCGACATGAGGCTCCAGTGCTAGACATTACTATAAACCACCACACAGCAAGTATCGTAGCGATATGACTTAAAATTGTTAAAGCTACGTTAAAAATGTAATCGCACACACAATATATCCTAATGAACCGCAAATAAGCATTGTTACAGGCACTTAATTGGCATTAGTCAGAAAGGCTGCACAAATCTTTGAACATGACTTACAAAGGAATGATTAAGTCAAACTTTGCTACAAAATACAAAGGATTTATTTCATAAAAAATGAATTTTCACTTAAACATTCATATATAGTACACAAGATCATATCAGTTTGTCCATCAGAGAATACAATGTTGCAATTCGCCTTTTCCCTTTTACTTATTTATTTCAAAAGGAATAATTTTTTAGAACTTACATTAGCATTTTCTTGTTGGTTCTTAATTCTATGAAATGCGTTTAACTATTGTGAACTATCTTCAGATTCAACAATACTAATTTTGCTATAAAAATGTGAAAGAAATGTAAAATACCTCCATAAGAACATTTGAAACTGAAAAAGAACACACACACACAGACACACACACACACACACACACACACACACACACACACACACACACACACACACAAGCTTATCATCTTTTAAGCCAGAAAACGCCCAATTCAAATGTTCCTCAATTAACGCAAAATTTGCCATTTAAACATTTTGGCTTCAGAGCCACCCATAAGAAATAAGACCAATTTTTGGTTCGCTTGCTAATCATCATTAATCGTTGACGGTAATGATGACTCAAGAGGAAGCACATGAGATACGGCGTACAATCTGCCAACAAATTTCCGCTTTCTTTCTTTCAAAGAGGGCAAGGGGTCAGAATCAGTGGACACGGTGTTCTGGCAGCCATGTCGAGCTGGTGGGCAAATGGAGGTATCTGTTGCACCTTAAATATTTTGTGTTCGATTTGTTTGGAATATCTCTGTCATCTTTGCCGGAATATCCATGCACTTTTTAAAATGGGTAAAAACCATGTCATCACCGAGGAATCTGTGGCAGCAAATCAGATTCCCGAGTCAGATGGAATCAGTACACAATTAATAAAATCCGGTTCAGTACCCACGAATGTAGTCCCAGTCTATTTTTAGATCACTTTTTCCGGTCTAAAATTGGTGGTGATACTAGAGTTATATTTTGGCATTCTTGGTAAGGATTTAAAGGCAATTGATTATTCTTTAAAATGTGAGCTTATGGTGTGGTTGTCTGTGTGTATTTCGGCGACAGTGCACATTGAGTAATAAGGTCATGGTGATGATCCGGAAGTGAAATCTGTGTTTAGTTGCCTGGTGTTTTGTTTACAATTCAGCCTCTCAAAAAAATGCAGGTCAACCCTTGAAAAGAACTAAACCGTAAAGTCGTCTTTGAAGGTAGTTTAGATTGACATATGATTTGTATTGATTGTCACACAGTGGAAAGTTTAGTACTGAGAAACAAATGTAGAGACCATATAGTAAAATTAATTGTGTACTATGGCCAGATCGTGCTTGCCCGATTTTTGCAATCTTCCCAAGATGCCCTTTGTTTACTATTGCAATAAACACAATGATGTGTACAGTGTATCCCTGACGGTCAACGTACATGCACTAATCTTGATGACATCGAGGATTTAGCAAAGAGTGAGCATGGGAATGACAGACTCTAGGAAGAAGTACAGGGAAAATTAGAGATATTGATGGCAGATTTTCAAAAAAAATACAAGGAAAAAGAGAAGAAAATTTAAAACTTGTTGATGAACAAAAGAATGACATTGGTAGATCTATAGAAACGTGGATGAAGAATCTTGTCAAAAAGGTTAAAGGAACTGGAAAAAACATCGGCTCCGGAAAGACTTGACGAAGTGATGAGACTACTGGACTCTCAAACCGACTGAAAAAAATGCTACCGTGTCATTGTCACGGCTGAGGTTTCGAATCTTATGCTGGATGATGCAAGCAGGACGAAGAACGAGAGGCAGACATTTTTTTGCGCTTACAAAAGTTTCTAAGCAAGCTGAGAATTGCATCTTTCCGACCAAGCATTTGAGATGAGTCTGCTACTAAAAGGAAGTAGAAAGTTTTTTTTTTAGAATGCAGATTCTTTGGGAGACGCGAAGAAACATTCAATTAGTATGTATTTTGCATTTGGTTCTATAAATGAGACAGAAATGTTGATGGCCATGGAAAGTGTTTGTGAATATGAAACGAAAATATCTACATCTGACACTGCAGAAAAAGAGGACAATGTGAAGGTGAAGAAGAGGACACTGTGCAGGTCAAATCTGTAGCGCTAAAATCGTCAAAAAATGCGCTCCAAAATGTTACCTATGCTACGTAAATGGAAAGTTCCAAGTTAAGGAATTGGAGGAAATAGACATATGAATAACGGTATAATATTTTTTACCTTTACAAGTTGACTGCGTATTATTCATGTTATTTCGATATTTGTTCATTTCATATTTCCATAAGTATCGTATTTCTAATAGAAATCGTATTTTAGATCTGTGGAAATTTTTAAAACTCGTTTTTAAAAGTATTAGCGATATATGCGTATCTATGTAAGTTGTGCGTAATTGTTCTAGCCAAACATCAGTCTAAAATCAATAGAACTATGTACAATTAAACTTGTCTGTACAAGTCACCCATGACAGTAGCAAATACCGATCTTACCTGGCAGGTGACCTTTACCTACCGGTAGCTATACTTTAAATCATATAAAAATTGGATTTTGATCATGGTTTCTCTAAGTAGGGAGAGGCTACACATAAGTAAGCACTTTTGCAGGTTGTATTTTCAATCTAAAGCCCATGCACATACATGCCTTATGTGTGTGTGTGTGTGTGTGTGTGTGTGTGTGTGTGTGTGTGTGTGTAAATAGTTTCTTTAATTTATGGAGAATTCTCAACAAGTATACAAGCCTGTCATCTAACGAATTCACTCACATTGAGTATAGCGTGTTCCACACAAGCTCTGTGTGTGTGCGTGCGTGCGCGTGTGTGTGCGAAACCTCATGTAGTTACTAAATTTAGTTTGCAGCGTGCTAACTGGCATTGAACTTCGCATGCAAAGTTTTCATATAACGATTTGTCCTATTAATCAGGAAGTAGTGTTGTGCTGAATGTGTAGATAAAGTAGATTTAAAATTCTAGAGTCAGTTATGATTGGTTGAAATACGGAAACTGTTACAATTAGCACTAGATGTTGTATCTTTATTCCAATATCTCATACAGATTTACTCAGACTAATATATATATATATATATATATATATATATATATATATATATATATATATATATATATATATATATATATATATATTAGAGAGAGAGAGAGAGAGAGAGACAGACAGACAGACAGACAGAGAGAATAAATCGAGATTAACATATTTTTTAATATTTTATTACTTATAATGCACATTATAAAATAATATATTATTCTTAAATACATTAATGGCGATTTTTCATCAGAACTCAACCTATATATTAAAATATTATGATATGCATAATTCTTATAATCATAAAATAAATGAATATTTTATAAATAATCAATCATAATATATTGAGAACAAATTTTGAAATGCCTTTCATTTTTAAAGAATTAGTAAGTAAACTTTTTTATGATAATAAATTTATACTTTAACTATTTATATTATTCTAACACGATTAGGACACACAAATTCATCCTATCAGGGCTGTCCTTAGTGTGTTTCAAACCCGTGACCCTTATTGTACGAGTCAAACTAATAATAATAATAATAATAATAATAATAATAATAATAATAATAATAATAATAATAATAATAGCAACAACAACAATAACAACAATTTTGCAACCTACATAAATAACAAACGGCCATTCAACTTAAAAAACTTAAGCAAATAAAAATGTCAGAGTAGAGATAGGTCAGTAGCAGTAGGGTTTTGTATTATTTGGAAGGAATCCAGGTAAATACCAGTAACAAGTGAATAACAGCCAGTGAGAAACAAGAATAAAGAAACAAAACCAGTCTAAAAAACGTGTTGTACAGCAAATTATTTTCAATTTAAACTCATTAGTATACATGTTCTAATTGGTGTGTAGATACAGATTAATGCTACATGTATAGCCTCTGCTGATATACGGTATACCTCTAATGTATACTATCTTGGCAATTTAAGTAATTATAGATAAATCTGGCATGTGAGACTTTGTTAAGTTAAGTTGACTGATTTATTTTACAAGTCCCGACAGTTTCAAAAAGAAAGGTCGTCGTGATCACAGCACAACCTGTATGGATAATGTATATGTCAATGAAAATAAAATATATGGCATTTAAAATAACCGTGCTGGCTCCAAGGTGAATACATTTTAGGTTGATAAGTACATTATTTAGCAATTAACTGTGCCGTTAAATATTTCGTAACGTGTCAGCAATTGTTTTTTGGTATTTACACATTTAAGTTGAGTGACTAGAAGTCCGTGATGTTTTGATAGAGCAGACGAAATGTTTTTCATTCGGAAATTTTGTTACTAGTACTGAATAATTTACAAAGTGTGTATTACGTACTTTTCTAAAGAGAACGAAAGCAAAGCTATTGCATTTTGACAGACCTGCAAAGAATATTTGTGTGTAGTAGGTTGTCAGAAGCACCAGGAAACGAGTTAAAACAAAGAATATATAACGATGAGTGCTAACAACGTGAAGAATAACGACTCAGAATCCAAACAGGGTCCAGATTACCTCTGCAAGAGGCACAAGAAGAGGTGTGTTTACTTTCGTGAACACCATAATGAGCTTTGCTGCAACAACTGCGTCAATATTCAACATAAATATTGCAAACCAATTGTATGCATTGAAGGCATGGCAAACACGATGAAACAAAGGG